CTTAATCTTTCATGGGATTCATGCTCAAGGATCGTTATTTTCCATGGATGTTGATTGAGATCTTGCCCCATCATCTTCCTGATTAGAAAGAAAACTTCCTCAATCAATATCTAACATAACTCGTCTCACTTAATTTATAGATATACCATCTCCTGAAATTGAAAATTCATGATTAAAATATTAATGGTTTAAAAAGAAATAGGGAAACCATGAAATTTAACGAATTTAAAATAAAATAAACATTGGTTTGTAATATATAGTGAATAATGTTCTTCTTACGTTGGCCTCTCATACATCTGCAAGCACAACAAGAGGATCACTTGAACTTGTAGAAGTAGTATCGGCATTTGGCTTCATTGCCTTTTGTAGTCCAACACGTAGCTCTTCATTCTCACCTCTATAAAATGATTATAAGATTTGGTTTAATATTAAGCACTCGTATTTCAAGTCAGTTCCATGTCCACGTTTAAGTGAAATAAACAACAAACCAAATTTGATAGTAATTTTTTAGGAAGAAATCTAACCTTAAAAAACAAATGTATCCAACGAAAAAATCCCTCCATCTTGTAAGTGTCTTATTGGTTGACCTACCATTCCCATTTTCAAGTGAACCAATTCCTCAAAATAAGAAAACGATTTACTTAATATTTAGATTTGAGTCTAATATTATTGGTATTGTAAGTATTAATCTCTAAGACATGCTGAAAACATCACTCATTTCAAGCAAATCTTTGACAACCAACTCTTATTTTGGATTTTGCATTGACATGTCCTGAGATACAAGAAGTTCATAATTATATTAGACCAAAGAAAAGGTAGAAATTAATATAGAAAGGGAAATGACAAATATTACTTTTTAAACATTGTAAAACAACGAAACAAGGGGTTATAAAATTGAAAAAAAAAACATAAAAGAAAGGGGCTGATGGAGCACCATGGTGGTGATGAATGCTGGGAACAAGACGTTGATGGAGCACCATAGTGGTGCTGTCGAGGTGCCTTGGTGACCTTGGACAAGGCTGGAGGATATTCACCGGGGTGGAGCAGGGCGAAGGATGTTCAAGGGGTTCACGATGTTTTGCTGAATAGTGGTTGGTCGAGCGGGGGAAGGTGATGGCTCTAGTGATCGGGCGATGAGAGATGGACGATGATAAAGTTGGATGACCAGAGGACGAGCACTGGTTGGTCGATAAGGAAAAGGAGAGCAGAGAAAGAAGATGGCTTTAGGAGGACAAATTGTGGTTGGCCGATTAAAAAAACAATGGATGCTACTCAAGAATGGAGGAGTTCTAGTGCTGTTGATAAATCAAACGACGGCTAGGGTTTTCTCTTTGAAAACCTAGCCAGTTGCCATAACATATATATATATATATATATATATATATATATATATATATATATATATATATGCGCGCGCGCGCTTGTATAATATAAGTATTTTGGCTTGTTAAATAATATTTATTTAAAATAGGTTATGGTGAATTAAAGTTCAAAAAGGTTATATTGACTTGATGGCTTCGCTGAAGTTTTGGAAACTGATTTAAATTTTTTGAAACATAAGTCAAAAGGGTGAAATTTGAAGTTTAGTACTTGATTAGTCTAGAGTTCGAATTAATGGCACAAAACTTCCAAATATTATGAATTTTCCACAAGAACTTTACGATTTCCTACTTTAATCTGAATTTTAGAATTAATATATTAAAAGTAAAATTTAAACCCACAAATTCTTTGGCATATATGATTCTCTTATTAGTACTCAATTTTAACATGGTCAATTAAAAATTATTTTTTAATGAAAAAAAGGTCTTAAATTTTAACATGTTCAATCCCCGAGCAGTCTATAATTCACTTTACAAATTGTTTTCAATTCAATATGAATTTCACAACTATATATTAAAATAAAATTTAAACCCAACAAATTCTCTTAATATCTTTTACTTGGCCAACGTATATTATTATTTTATTAACAATCGACTTTGACATGATCAACGAAAGATTACTTTTAACGGTAAAAAAGATCTTAAACATGCATATACATATTAAAACATTTATTAATCAAAACAACCTTAAATGTATGTATAAGTATAAATATATGGAACACACTAAATAAAAAAACATTTGAAAAATCATCACTAACAATATTTCAAATGAGTGGTATATCTAAGATGTCATTAAAAATTTGCCTCACAAATCCTTTATGTTATTTCTTTGCATTAAAAATAAGTGAAATAATCTCATGATGTCTTTTACCATCGTAGTATAAAATAAAAGAGGTTGTGATAAGTAATTATTTTCGTCATGTTAAAATTATTTTTCGTGACAATAAAAAAACATCACCTTTTCTGTCTTATAAAATATGACGAATCAATTTGTCACGAATAAAATTTATCAGTGACAAATTTACAACATCAGTAATTAAAATCAAATCGTCATTATAATAAATCGTCACTAATACTGTAATTTCGTTGGGGACAATTTTATAATGTCACTATTTTATCTAAACGTCATTAAAAGTATTCCCTCCAAATTATTTTATAGGAAAATTTTAGCTCAAAACATATAGTGACTAAAATCGGTAACCATTTTCAATATTATCATAAAGGATATACCATAAATCACTAAAAGTGCAAAAATAAAAAAACGTCATGTTTATAGTATTTTTGTGACGTTATACGCAGTGTCATATAAGTTGTGTCTAAGATTTACGACTCAACTAACCTTTTTAAATTGGAGAGCAAATGAATTGAAATGTTAAGACCTTTTCATGTAGAAATTTTTTGAAAAACTAATAGGTATAAATGAATGTATACAACTTTAAATAAAAAGTTAAATTTATTCACTAAGTGATATGACTTAATATCAATAGGTCTATTCACCAAGTGGTATGACTTATAGCTTACTAAATTACATCAATACTATTCAACTAATCTATTATTTTTCTAACAAGGAATTTAGGTGAGTTTAGGGGCCACAATGGTTGTGACAGGACCACCCGACAAGGGATGGTCAGCTAGTTTTGGGGGTTTTGAAATTTTTGGGGGGTTTATGATATTTTTAAAAATATATAAGGTCTTTTTAAAAAAAATATATAAATATGATCTGTGTTAGACAACATATCATTTTAACAGTTGTTACGGTGTAGACACTTAAAAGTATAACGTGAGAAACGTTAAGTGCTTTTGTGCAAAAAATTATTTCAACGTCTAAAATTAACTTTAGGTATGACTTGGACACTTATTTTTACATTATTTGACTTCTTAAAAGTCAAAACATTAAAACTTTGACCTTAATTATTTTAAATTTTTTGAACAATTAAATTTTATCAAATATATATTTAGAAACTATTTGATTGAAGATTTTTAAAATATATTTTTTCATATTTTTAAAATAATAAATCTTAAATAATGATAGTCAAAGTTAAAATAATTGATAAAAATGAATAAATTTAATGGAACAGAGGGAGTATATACTATACACTCTTAGGGCTACTTTGGTGTAGATTTTGAAAAATGACTTTTTAAAAACGTTGTAGAAACGAACTTTTAAAAATATTGTACAAAAGTGCAATTTAAAATTTAATTGTTTGGGATTATTGTTAAAAAGTGAGCTCGAAAAAATAAAATGTTCATTATAAACATTATGTTGTAAATTAAGATTATAGTATATAAATTATATTTACACTTATATATGAATCATATCAATTTAAACTATAATAAATTCAAAAAAACTATTATTATATATGAATTATATCAATTTAAATTATAATAAAAAATATAAAAATACAAATATATTTTATATAACTCACTAATAATATTTTAATATATAAATCATAAATTTTATTTATTTTTAAATAATTAAAATAAATTATTAAAAGTAATAAATTACTTCTTTAAGAACGTTGATATTAAATTATTAAAATAAAATGTAAATACATAATTAAATGGAGTTCATGCATAGTAAGGGTAAAATTATAATTTACTTCCAAATGCAAAGTTAAAAATTAAAAAAGCTAAAAAAATCATAGCTTTTGCGGTTGGTTTGAAACCATCTTTTCTACCACTATTTTATTTTTATTTTTTTACCAATTTTACATTGATTTTGCGGTAAAAATAAATTTTTTTAACTAAAAGTGCTTAATCTACTTAGTTTAAGTAAATGGAGAACCAATTTGAAGATGTTCGTGCATATATATTGAATTAGTTCAAGTAGCATTGATGGTGGGAGCTTTGAGAATTTTTAGCCATGAATGATACATTTTGTTAAATTGGGTTTAGTTGGGTTCGAGACCAATGTGTTTAATTGGGTTCAGTCCTTTAGAATTCATAATTTTTGATTTTGACCCCAAATTGGGGTTTATGTTGTGAATTGAAGGTTTAGAATAGTATAGGGTTCGATTCAGCTACTTATGTACGATGGCCGACGATGAGGTTTAAGGATTTGGAGAGGATGACTAGTTGAAGAAGTTGAGAGGAAAGGAGGATTTTTTTTTTGGGGAAACTAGGGTTACAAAATGAAAGAAAACAAAAAAATGTAGGATTTATACAAAGAGTTAAGGGCTTAATTTCTGTTAGGTCCCTATACTTTCTGCATGTTTTTATAAGTTGCTCTATTCTTTGCTTTTTTTCTATTAAATTTTTTCAAATTTTATGCAGTGTTTCCATTATTTTATGTTTTGGTCATTTTTTACTTTCTTGCTGAATTTGGCAATGTTTTTTCTTGTTTTATTTTATTTCATTCAATGCTTTATTTACAATTTCGAATTTATCTTTTTATTTTATTGCGTTTCAATCTCTGTTCTAACAAAATTATTAATTTATAATTCAATAACCTCTAACTTACTAATTCCCAAGTTACTAACCTTCTAATTTACTAACCCCTTACCACTAACTTGCTAATTCGAATCATTTGACGACCTTGTGGTGAGCTGTTCTAGGCGGAAATATCCATGAAACATTTAAGACTTATTTGCAGAATGAAATGGATGACAAACCGAGCAAGCTAAAGAAGGGTCGAATGACTATGTGGAAAGCAGTGGATTGATTGATTGATTGATTCTAAGGTAGTAGGTCTTACATTCTGTTTGTCTTTTAGTAATTACCATTAGACTAATTTCATGTGCATGATTGTCTTTCTTGGTAGGAAGGGCAAGCCGAAGATAAATTGAAGCAATCCAAACCTCATAAGATTCAAGGCAAGACCAAGACTGAGAAGCCCTCTGATCCTAAAAATGTTTCTCCAGCTTTGGTGAAGAAAAGTAAAGATGAAAAGATTGCTAAGGAAAGGTTGACAGCTCCTAATGGTGGTTCTGTTGCTGCAAATTCTCGTATGAAACAGCCTCTTAAAAGTAGATCATTGAATGAAAGACAAGCTAACGGATCCCAGGTTGGGGTTTAGTGGTTTACAATGATAATACAACTTATTTATTTTTCTGCGTTTCTGATTATTTATTTTCCTTCCTCTGTGTGCTTACAACAGCATCCTGGAAAACCTGATGCAGCCTTCTCTGAAGGCAATAGATACGTACGATTACTTTTGTTTGAATTCCTTTTCTTTCTTCATGCAACCATCTACCATTCTTATTGATTATGTAAACCGAGAGAGGAGCTTTTTATCTTCCCTTAGACATGATAAAAGAAATTTTCTCCTGCATTTTCACAACTGTTCTACCATTTATTACAGGGAGAAACCCAAGTTAAAGCCTCTGAAGAAAGAACCTCCAAATAAAGCTGAAGGAGACACTGAGTTATCGTATCCTTGTCTGTTTTAACATTTTGTTATTACGTCTGGTACTACATGTTGAAATGGGTCACGCTTTGAGTTTTCTTTCCAATGTTGTCTATAAGTTTTCTTTTTTTATTTCATTGGCATGTTTCTGTTTATCCTTAATTGCTTCATTGAAGCCCCACAGCAGCTGATGATAAAGCTCATAAGATCGGTACTCTACCAAATTATGGTTTCAGTTTCAAGTGTGGCGAACGGACTGAAAAAAGAAAAGAGGTTGGTGCTTTATATGATATTCCCCAGATTTTACATTTTCTAATCTTGCAGCAATTTTACTTGACTTTTCAGTCTTCGCCATTCTGTTGCACAGTTTTACTATAAACTTGAGGAAAAGATTCATGCAATGGAAGTAGAAAAGAGCAACTTTCAGGCCAAGCAGGACGGAGCTTAGTGAGGAGCTTCGGACCTTGTTAAAATTTGAATATTTAATATAATTTTGGACTAATAGTATTTTGTTTTATGTAAAAATAAATATTAAAATTAAAAAAAATTATTAAATATTTAATCAAATAACGACTGAATTAAAGAAGGATAACTTAGTGTTCTCAGAATTTTTGGTCGAATAACAATTTAGGGTACAAAGACTTCAACTATTTAACAATGAATGTTCATACATCTATATGTGCAGTGCTCGAACTCGAGACCTTGAGGATAACAACAATCTCTTAATCACTAAGGTCATTTAGTTCGTGTTAAATTTTGAATTTAAATACCTAAAAGTCTTTATATTTTTCTTAAATAGTCCAATATTTCGACCCTTGTCAATATTTAGTCTTAGCTCCGTCCTTTAGGCCAAGTCTAAGGTGTTATTCTGTGAATACGGTGGCTTATGGTCTTGAATCATTTCTTTTTATAATGATATCTAACTTTTCTGTAGGAAACTCAAGAGGCTGAGATTAAGATGTTTAGGAAGATTTTGAACTTTAAAGCAACTCCGATGCCAAGCTTCTATCAGGAACCTCCACCTCCGACGTTGGAATTAAAGAAGGTTAGTTGAATGTGCTGCTGGTATAGATAGAAGGCTCGATGGTTCTTTGGGTATATAAATTTTGCATAGACAGATTCGTCTTTGTATTTTAATTTTAACTCCCAATGACATGCTTATTTGTATTCTCCTTTTCTTTTTCCTTTCTTGAGTGTGTATAAATGCATTATTTTATGTTCCATTATATATTTTGTGCACGTGACCATAGAAAGTTTTCATTACTCTTCTTTCTTTATCTGCTGCTATATGGCCATGGTGAATTTCTCACGATTTACAACATTAATGTTTTTCTGTTACTTGGGTGCAGATACCAACTACAAGAGCTAAATCTCCAAAGCTTGGTCGGATAAAAAGTTCCTCTACTTCAGAAATTGATGGTAACAGCAATAACGTTCACCAATCAGGCCGGCTAAGTTTGGATGAGAAAGCATCTCAGAGGATATCTGCCGAAGTAATTTCTCATGTTAATGCAAAGAAGCCACAGAGGAAATCACTTCCCAAACTGCCTTCTCAGAAGTTTACTTTGTCCAGTGCAAAGAATGAAGATCCGAAGCATCCTATCAGGAAAAGGCGACTGAATCAGAAGCAACAACCGAGGGAAAGAAAGCCTCAACTAAAGAAACAAACGAGGAGAACACCACATCATCTGATTTGACAAATGAGGAATTATCTCCAGTCCAACAGCCGGAGGCAGTGTCGACTGCTGATTCAGGTGGAAGTCGGCCTGAGAAGGATCGAGGGCCGATGATTGGAGAGCAAGGGCAGCTGGGTTTGGAATAAGAACCAATTGCAGTGGAGAATTAAGCATAACAGTGTTTACAGTACTGTATGTCAATCATTTACAAAAGTCGGCCTAAGTTGTGTTGTTTTAAGGATGGCTTGCTGAGTTTCTAAAGTTGTTTGCTGTTGGTGTCATAGATAATCAATGATCAAACCTGCTAAGTAATTGTGAATTCCTACATTGTGTAACTTGCTCTGTTTATCCTATGAAAGTACTTCATATTTGTTGATTATTTAAAGACTTCCATTGCAATCCAAAGTCGATCTCATATAATTAGAATGGTGAAAGATTGTTGACTAAGAAAGGTAATGTTTCCACTTTATTTGATACCTCCCAACAACTCTAGATTTTTTCTCATTTTCTTTTGTTGAATGCAGCCAAGTGATCCACAAATAATCAACCCATACCCACCTCAATCAACAGTTCCAAACAGCACATCTTCCATGAATCATATCAAATCAAACTTGCAATCATTCTACATCAAAGTTTGATCATCTTTTATTTATCATATAGTGGAAACAGAAACATAGACGGTGATTTCCAATGGCGGATTCAACATTTCATTACATGGTTTGAGAGGTTGAAGACTACAACAGTTCAAAGGCAAATGAAGCAAGTAAAAGTGGGGTTCTGGTAAAAAAGAGAGGAAAAAACAACTCCCAAGAGTTGTCACGGCAGATTATCTACATTGCTGCCATGGCCAAAACCCAATTAGAGCTAGACACTTAACTTTGAACTGTCGAAGGCAACCATGACTACAGTGACTACAAGAATTCGAATCTGCCATCAAGGAAGACTCGGTAAAACCAACAATGAACAAACTATAGTACTAAAATCCAGAACCCAGTAACTGTGTTGTAAGGGGAATCTGGCCATTGAGAAACCGACACCGTCAATATCCAGTAACGGATCTCCATAAAAGAATACCTGCAAAAAATGGGGGAGAATGGCCATGTTCCCTGTAAAAAAGGGACAGAGCTCTGGAAGATATAGGACCCACGACTGATGGACCCAAAAACTAAACGATATGTGGCAACTCACAGAGGGTATATTCATAGGCTTCTTGATTGATCAAACCTTGTTTTGTCGATAAATCGATACTCGGCAGTACGCGGAGGTGCCTACATACGTCAAGTTCAGAAAAGGATGTCGCACCTCCATAGCTGCTCTACGAGTAGGTCAACTGCACTGTTACTGATTGCCTTGCAGTGCTGTAGGTTTAAACCCACGAGGGTCTCACCCAATTTTCCAAGTGAAGGCAAGCTTCTGTCGGAGACCTTAGATCAACCAGACACAGAAAGGATCTGCAGATTGATCCGATTAGAACGAGCCAGAGATGCAATTCCGGAATCAGTGATACCACACCCGGAGACATCAAGGTCATTGAGCAATTGACAGTTATCTGCAATCGCACCCAAACTAGCATCGCTGATCTTACAACCATCAAGATTCAGCATTTCTAAAGTCCAACCATGCAAATCAGCCATGATACAGACAACTTTGTCACTCAAATTCACACAACCGTTGAGATTAACCTTCGCCAAACCACCCTCACAACTCTCAAGCAATGGAAGAAACCCAGCATCTGTTATTCCATGAAGCCCACTCAACTCCACATGCTGCAGTTGAGGGCACAACTTCCCTAATGCAACCAAGCTGGAATCACCAAAACCAGGGCAGCTGCGGACCGAAAGTGATCGAAGGGATTTGCAAGGGAATACAGGAGGCAATCCCAGGTTTAGGTCCTTGATACCCAAGCAGTTCACGAGGGATAGCGCCTTCAACTTTGCACCACAGTTGAGGAGAAAACCAAAAAGCCCAAATTGGGTGACCCTGTCGCACTCCTCTAGTTGCAAACTCTCTAGTGAACTAGCTGTTTTGGCAAAAGACACCAACCCATTATCAGACAACAAAGCACATTTTTGGAGGCATAACTGTTTCAAATTCGGGCAACCCTTAGCGACAGCCTCAAGTCCCAAATCTGTTACACCACGGCAGGATGTAACCACGAAAGATTTCAACTTCAATAGCCCATGACCATAACCCATTACCCAGAAGCCCTTTTTACTCACATTCGGAAGGCTGGTGAGAGAAAGATCAGTCACTGCTTTGCCATAGTGTCCAATAACAGCAAGAGAGACATCGGTAATGTTCAAGAACTGGAGCTTTACTTTTGTGAGGGTACATGAGGCTGAAGACAACATGCTTGCAATTCCCTGATCTCCAACAAGGGGGCAGTATTTTTATTGAAATAGACTTTAGATTTGGACAGCTGCGTGCTACAGCTTGGAGACATTCATTTCCGATGTTTGCACAACCTTCAATGGTCAGATCCATCAAAGTAGGACAGCTCTTAGCAAGGGCGAGCAAAGACTTATCGGTAATTGCAGGACAGTGGCAAAAGTCAAGCTTCTCTAGCTGGTGACATCCATCAGCAATCTCACACAGACCTTCATCTACAACATAAGACAAATTCCACAATGAAAGAACCCTTAGAGAAGGGCATCCACGGGAAATGGCCCTTAGTCCAATGCTAAGTGTGGAATTGCTTCCTCGAATAAAAAGCTTGCCCAATCCACCACGACTAGAAGTTCCGACAGCAATAGCAGCAAGTCTAACATCTGTTGCTTTCTTCCCTTCCAAACTCCTAGAGAGGTATCCATCACCCTCAACATCCTCATCTTCAACCTCAGACACAACACCACCCTTGTTGTCATTGATTTCATCTCTGCAGATGTTGCATACCAGATTAAGCCAACGCTTGGAAACACAGGCGCAGGAACTCCTCTCTCGGCCTCCAGGTAATCGTCTGAAGATTTCGAATAAGCATTCATCAGGGAGAATCTCGATAGATGGCTTCTTCTGCTCGAACCTTTCTCCAGAGAAAACAATGGGGGCACTGATGCGGGACCTCTTTTGATGAGGAAAATATACATCCGCTTGATGTCCAATAGAGAAAAAGAGACTTGACTCCTTGGGGTTCGGGTAAACTGACCCCCCAGGGAAAAAATTATCAATTCCTGGTAACCAAGATTAAAACCCTTGATGAGAACAGAGCAATTTACCACCCTACTATAGAAAAACCAGATAAAAAACTTGACAGATATTTCAGATTAGACAGAAGTTGTTCTATATATTTTCGACCACATGCAGCTATCAAAACCACATCTCTACAAGTATCATGCCCAACGAACATAAAAGGGTATTAATCATCCATTAAATAGCCCCAAAATCTATAAACTTTGTTCACATAAAAGGGTATAACATTTTCGTATCCAATCCATACACCAAATTCATCATAAACGAAAATCAAAGTTACCCAGAAAAGAAAAAAGCTAAAAACTAGCAAGGGGAACAGCTTACCGTTACAAGAAAATATCTTTGACATGTGTACAGCTGAAAAAACCCAGGGAGGTCAAATCCGCACTGATCACAGCCCAAAAACCCTCCAAAGAGAACAAAAAAGAGAGACCCAACAAAGAAGAAAGTCGAAACTACAAGTATTGTAGCTTGAAAACAGGAATGCATGGGAAAGATTGGAGCTAGAAGGACATGGATAACCCCATCAGATAGGGCAAAAAGGTGAGAGAATAGAAAAAGATGGAGACATAGGGGAAACGGGGTGGGTTTTATTATGAGAGGAGAGGCACGTGACAATACGGGAAATGAGGCGCTTAATATACTATTAAAAAAGACGGTACGAATTTTATTATTGTTGTGCATAATAAAATTAGTAAAATTTATTAAAAATATTATTATATATATTGATTTTGTTATTATTTTAATAATTTATCTGATTTTTTAATAAAATTTGTAAAAATATTGTCGGTTTTTTTATTTTTTTATTAATTTTGTTATTGTTGGGTATTATATCAGAAATGTTAAAAAATATTGATGTTTTAGGTAGAAATAATAATATTTTAGGTAATTTTTATCAGTTTTGTTATTCCCAACAATAACAAAACCGGTAAAAATAGACTTTTTTAATGACAAAATTAGTAAACACAAATATTTGTTTCCAACATTTTGTCCAGTATGATTCTCAAACATAAAGTTTCTAAAACAGTTTCGATACATTTATTGTAAGTATCGATCATTAAAACATCGAAACCAATTATTATAAAGAGTATCGATTTAATGAGAGAATATGTAAACATATGTGTCGATACATTTTCTAAAAGTATCGACCCAAAAATATCGAAATCGATAATTATAATGTAATAGGTATAAATATACTGATTTTATGATAGAATAGGTCAACATAATGTATCGACACAAATTTAAAAAGTGTCGATACATTTTGTCCAGAATGAATGTCAAACGAGGTGCACGAATAAAGTGTCTATGCATTTATTAAAAGTATCGATCCCAAAAACATCGAAACCGATAATTACAATGTAATAGGTAAATTTACAATGTATCCGGTAGAAATATACCGGTTTTATGAGAAAATAGGTCTACATAATGTATTTGACACGTTTTAAATTTGTATCAATACTTTTTTCCAGAATGAATGCCCAACGAGATACACGCATAAAGTGTCGATATATTTAAAATTGTATCTATCCCAAAAACATCGAAACTGATAATTATAATGTAATAGGTAAATTTATAATGTTACCGGTATAAATATACCGGTTTAGTTAGAAAATAAGTCAATATAAGCGCTACTTATTACATTATATAAGAACTACCTAATATGTTATTGTACTTGATAATATTTCCGGATATATACCTATTTAATTATATAAGCGCTACCTATTATATTATATAAGTGCTACATAATATGTTATTGTACTTGATAATATTTTCGGTTAAATATTTATTTTATTATATAAGAGTTACCTATTATATTATATAAGTGTTACTTAATACATTATTATATTTAATAATATTTCCGATTAAATGATATAATATAATCTATATAAATTTTAATCAGTTACTTATTTAACAAATTACGCTGTTTTTTAATTTTTTTAATGCCGTACATCACAACTTCCCGTGACAATACACGAGAGAAAACCAAATGCAATGTATTTGACCAAAAAAATTTGGGGTTTTGTCCTTGTTAGGATTCTCAGTCTTCTCCCCCACATTTCCAATACCGCTTACCGCTGTTTGCCGTTGAATGTTTTGCATTTTTCTTTCTTTCGTTATCCACAAGTGTTTGATCATATTAAGGGTCAATTACAAATTTCATCATAAATTTTACTCTATTCTATTTTGCTCACTAAATTTTATAATTTTTTAATTTCATAACTAAATGATGCCGTTTTAAAAAAGTAAAATTTTTACCAAACTAATGTCGTTTTGCATCTATATAAAATCTCATTTATAACGCCGTTAATGAGAAAACGATTGCATGACAAAAAGACTCAACTTATTAAATTTAGTGAAGAAATTGAAAAAAATTAAATTATAATAGATGAAATAAGAAAGAAAAAATTCAATTACTAAATTTGTAATTTATGCTATATTTAATTTTGCAAGTATATTCTGTGTTGTAATAAGCTACATTCATTGCCAACCTCACAATCTTCATTTGCCCAACTTGGTATATATATTACGTGTAAGGATTGATAAATTTTAGGTGCTTCAACTAAATTTTTAATTGATTTTTTTGTGTTTAAAGAATTTTTTTGTTAAAGTTAGATATCTAATATTTTCTCTATCATACTTTTAGGTGTTTATCATTAAAAAATTATTAAGTGACATAATGTATATTTAAATTTAAAAAATATTATATTTATTTTTAAAAGAATTTAAAATATAAGCGTGACAAGTGTCACTTAACGAGTTTTTTTTAAATACCTAAAAATATAACGGAGAAAATATTATATAATCATTTTTAAGGAAAAATTATTTAGACACCAAAAGTCAATTTGAGGTAAAGTTTAGACATATAGAGTATAATGATTAATATCCAGCTTGGTATTCTATACGTATCTAGGACGGACGGATCCGGTCGTATATAGCATGTCCCATGTACCATGAAAAGAAGGAATAATATCCATAATTTGAATTGTTTGAATCTTGAGATTCCAATATTAATACTTTCCTTATAACTTTATCTTGCGAAATCCATATCTTCCATTGAAGGAGCTGAGCAATTCTTTTCCAATTTAACTCAAATTATTAATAACATTAACTATTCTCATTACATAAATATACTCTTTTTGACCAACATGGATATGGCTTCTTTCATTTTTGATGTTGTCCAAAGCTCTCCACTTAAAAAACGTGCAGATACATACATTTTTCTAACAAACATATGTATATAATATGCAAGAATCTCTAGCGTAGCAAGATAGAGATTCTTGTTATCATATATTTAGAAATTCACAAATGATATATGCCACAATATCAGTGTAGGAGAAATTTGTTGCATTAATAAAAATATAAGTTTAATTTTTAAAGTTATTTATTTTTATTAGAAAGATGCCATTTTGATAAATTTAATAGGAGAAAAAAATGTTAGTTTTGGTATTATCTCATAAAAAAAATGCCATCTTTCATTTCTGGTCAAATCTGATGAAGCTTCTAAATGCTGACTCATTTCAAGCTTCAATTATTACCGCTTTTACTTATCTTAGTATTAGCTACAATCATTAAAGCATGTATAATCATGTGAACCATATAACATAATTCATGACATGGTGGTCCATTTCATTAGTCGTTAGTCCAATTTGCTTTTGTTGGATTGTTCCTACTTGCACGATCACCTGGCTACCAAGAAATTTCCTATAGCTTCCAAAAATGATGAAAAACTCGTCGAGTTGGATCATAATACTGTTTAAGTTCTAGAATTCGTATTCAACCGAATCCTTTATGGGCATTCCCCCCCCCTTAGTCCAATTTGCTTTTGTTGGATTGTTCCTACTTGCACGATCACCTGGCTACCAAGAAATTTCCTATAGCTTCCAAAAATGATGAAAAACTCGTCGAGTTGGATCATAATACTGTTTAAGTTCTAGAATTCGTATTCAACCGAATCCTTTATGGGCATTCCCCCCCCCCCCCCCCCCCAAAAAAAACATGTATATGCATTCACGAATGGCTGTTTGTAATCACCAAGAAAAGGGTTCAAGAAACTGGAATATTGCATTTTCTTTTCATTTTGGATAATTAATGTTGCATTTTCAATCCAAAGGATTTGTAAACTACAATACATTGATATACAGACGAAGGATCCAACAGAGAAGAGGATGGTGCAATCGACAATCTCGACATATTCCCGTGTTTTCTAGCTTTAATTTAGCATCATCCTGCTCAGTCATATAAGCCCTCTTGCTCCCAAACCTCGTCTAGGAAATCCACCAATTCCTGCCAGTGAGCCCAAACAAGAATTGGAGTAACTATACAAGGATGAATCATGGTTTTTAATCCGAAACCATTCGGTTGGCAGCGTAAGCTTACAGACAGGGGAACTGGATGAGAGAATGGCTTAGTATTCGCATGTAAACTATGATAGAGTACATTCCAATTGCAACTGCAACTTCAACAAGTAAACAAGAAACTCGATAAGGTCTTAAACGAAAAGATGAAAATGGTTGAAACAAGTTAAACTTGACTTAATGATTGTTATTTTCTACTTTTTTTTTATATAGAAAATTAGACCTCATTAAAAACCCCGTTTTTCACCCTCCATGTTGTGCAAGTAACATGAAGGACGAAAAAGGAGAAAAGAGTGCCCAAAATATATTAGATGAAACAAATAGAACAACAAAAGCAGACCAAAGCGTATGTAAACACAACAGCTAAGCATAAGAAATAAAACTCCTACACCTCAACCCAAACAAACATACGCCATAACATCACCCTATCCCATCTTTAGCTAGTTTGTCAGCTTCCCAATTTGCAGCCCTCAAAATATGCTTGAAAATGATATCCTTCCCTGACAAAAGGGAGACAATATCCTTCACCAATACTTGAAACATAGGAGTGCATAACCTCGGATTCAAGATCCACTTCAGAGCAGTGCTTGAATCTGATTCAAGAATAGTCCTCTGAAAAATAACAGAGTTTAAATCATCTGGTAGACATAACCCTCTCTTAATCGCCAATAATTCAGCCAAGATAGGAGGACCACCCCCAATACTCTCAGAAAACCAATGAAGCAACACCCCTTTGCTGTCCCGGATCAGACCACCAATAACTCCCTTATCCCAGCCCTTACCCATCGCTCCATCAACATTAAGCTTTAAAAAACCATCCGGAGGAGGAACTCAGCAAATTGATTTAGGAATACCATTTCCTTGTCTACCCACTAAATCAGCAAGTTTTAAATCGCCCACAAGTGAATCTAAAGGGATATTCACAACCTTGTGCTTAACAACAAACCAAGAAGCTATTCTAAAACGAACAATAAAGAACAGTCTCACCACATCTAGCTTTCCTTTCTGAAAACTACCTCGTTTCTACATTTCCACACTGACCACATCAACGCCCTTGGAATAAATTTCCATATCAAAGACTTCGGAAGTAAATCATTCCACAAATTAAAAAAGCCGATGATATTTCTAGGGATCACGAAAGACAAATTCCAACAATTCAAGAATCTAGACCACAGACTCCAGGCGACCTCACAATGCAAGAATAGATGCGAGACTGATTCCATTTCTTGACCACACAATGAACATAAAGAATCGACTATCCCTGCCACACCACGCTTCAGTAACTCCACCTTAACCACCACTCGCTGATGAGCAACTTGCCAAAAAAATGACTCCACCCGAGGAGGAGCTATCCCAACCCAAATATGCCTCTCCCATATCTCCTCCTGCTGAGTACCATCTTGATCGAGGAAAAAGCTCATGCAAGATTTAGCTGAAAAACAACTTTCTCCATTCCCTGACCAAATCCAACAATCATCTACACATGGCGTAATAGGAAAATTGTTCAATAAGGACAGCAACTGTAGCAGCTGTTCAACCTCCCAATCTGCCAAATTCCTCTTCATTTGAATGTCCCACTCCCAGCCAACGCCATTATTGACCCTAAACTCCATTACTTTCCCCAACTTGTTGCTCGAGAGAACATAAAGTCTAGGAAACCTTATTTTCAAAGGTACATCACCCAACCAAACATCATTTCAGAACTGCACAGAGTTCCCCTTCCCTGTCTTCACACGCATATTCTTCCTAATACAATCCCCAAATCCATCAGCTATAAAGAAATTCTTCACCACACCTCTCCAAATCCATGATGCACGGGTTGGCCACGAATTCCCCAACATTATACAATTCGGTTCCATGTCATACACACCACATACCACCCTCTTCCACCAAGACTCTTTCTCAGATGCAAACTTCCAAACCCATTTCCCCAATAAGGCCCTGTTCAAAAGAGATAAGTTCGGGACCCCTAGACCCCATCCTTTTTGGTTTACTAACTGAATTCCACTTTAACCAGTGGATACATTTTTTATCCGCCGCTCCCCCAACAGAAATGAAGCCATTATGGAATTCAATTTCTTTAACACAGAAGCTGGAATTTTGAAAATTGAAAGAAAATTAACGGGGAGCGAGCACAGAACTGATTTAACCAACACCACCCTTCCAGCAAGCGACAGGGAATTAGACATCCAACCACTTAACTTAACATGGAACCTCTTAACAATTGGATCCCACATGGCAGCCGAATTCCTCTTGTACCCCAAGGGTAATCCTAAATAATCAGATGGAAGACAACCTACCGAACATCCAATGTCATTAGCCCAAGAAGCTACCACCCCATCCTCAACATTGATGCCATAAATTCTGCTCTTAGCTAGGTTTAGCTTCAACCCCACCATTAACTCATATATTAATAGCACTCTTCTAACATTCCTCAAATCACGAGAAGAGCCTTTACTTAAAATAATAAGATCATCCGCAAATTGCAAATGCGAAAGTTTAAATGCCCCATCTTGGGCACCTAAATCAAAACCTGAAAACAGTCCCATGTCAACTGCTTTAGTTAGCAGTAGATGCAGTAACTCGCCAGCCAAATTAAACAACAGTGGCGATAACGAACAAGGAAATTTTCTAACCTTAACGGGGATTCTCGACATTGTACATGCTTCTCACACTTTTTATTTCCAAGCCATTGTTGCCTTGTTTGGTTCCAGAGATGAAGGCCTGCAAAAACAAATTGTCATCAAGAAGTTTTACCACCAATACTATTTTCGAGAGTATTAAAACCTTACAACAGGACATGAGAATAAATGAAAGAACGGGATGCTAATTGGCTCTATTTAGTAGCATAGATAAAGTTAACACATCTGAACTTGCCATGATTTACAAATTCAGAAGGATGGCTAGTGCTGCCAGAAAGGTCAAGGGAATGACTCAGTATGCTGATTGACGAAATGCTTCTTTGGGACCCAAGTGCACCATGTTCGATTTCACATGTGCTGCTACTCCATAAATCTTCAGAAAAGCTCCTCCCTCTCCAGTCTTGAATCATTACACTCTTAGATGGCTCGAAGCATCCAAAACAACCTCTGATATGTTACAAACCAGGATTAACCACACATAAAACCGGTGTATTAACTATAAAAACTGAATCCTGGATCTAGCATATAGAAAGCAAAGCCATCAACTTCACAACTATACATTGGAAATAAGCATATGAAATTAAACTTCAACTTCGAAATGTCTGATTTTGAACATAATCAAAGAGGAGTGGCATTTGAAACATTGGGACTTGGCATTCGTTTTTATCAACAAAAATATCAACATATAAATGCAAGGCAGGTAAATTATGAGCGCTTTTACCCATAGCTTAATTGCAGAAAATTTATGAGCCCTTTCAATCTCCAATCCAAACTCCATTATAGCTCCACCAATCAGAGTGTAAGAGCATGTAAATAAGCTCCAAGAAAAAACAATAAATGAACAAGGTTTCTTCCCAGAGCTAAGCTAATAAATAACACCTATGATCAAGATATCAAAACAAAGACCCTTGCATCATACAACCAGAAACCCAGAACTCAAAGCAAAGAATGCCCCAAATCGAAGAATCTCAGATGCTCTCAGCCCTTCCCTCTGAACATATCTTATAGCTTTAGTACAAGTAAGCACCAAGAAATAACCCCAAAATTCAATAGTAACAATAGCAAACTTAAAGCTACACATAACAAAGCATCAAAACTCTATTCTTATAACTAAAGAAGGCTAAGAATCAAATGGTTAACATGATAACAGCATGAAAAAGAAGAGAAGAAGAAAACCGACCCCAGGCAGCCAAAAAGGGCAGAGATCCAAGGTGGAAGATGAACGGAATCGCATCTAAAATCCCCAAAGAAAAAAAAAACCCAATTGCAGAAAGGAAAAGACTCAAAATTCCCGAGACAAGTTAATAGCTTTCCTCCGAACTCTTTTCTTTTCAACTGTTTCGCCTGGGATTTTTCGCAGAAATGTAGGAAGAAACAAAGGGTAAAGGGTTTACTTTCAGGAATGAAATAAATACCTTGAAAGCGTCATATTTGGAGATGAGGTTGGATCATTTTATAACAAAGTTAAACTTTATTCCTGGAAAGAGATTGATTTTGGCCTTCCTCTGGTCACTGAATCGACCAAAGGGACCTCCCTTTCCGTTTTCTAACTTAATCCGTTTTCAAGTTGTTATTGAATTGTTTGAGGGAAAATGAAGAATGAAGATTAAAGAAGAGGAAGCGGATTAGATTAGATAAGATCAGTTAAAGAAATGTGGGGCTCAGTCGCTCAGATAACAATTGGGGATTGATCCATTTAGACCCTAATATATATATATAGTTGAATTGCGAGTTCGATTGAAAGAAGTTAACCTTTCCGTTATATTTTCAGACATTGCCTTCTCATTGTATCTCAAAAGCCCCAAGGATTGTATATGTATTAGCTGACTACTGTTCTTCTAATTATAAGATTTTTTCAATATTTTAGTTATAAAAATATATAAAATAATTATTGTATTTTTTATTAATCTAAGATAAATATAAAACAATATATGGTAAAAATAATACTTAACCGTTTAATATTGAACACTCACACCCTTAATATTTATAGTGCTCAAAATTAAGAGTTAACACATTAGTAGAGATGCACATAGCCGGATTTAAATCCGATCCGGATCGGATAAAAATCGATTCAATTTTTTCACCAAGCCAAAAAACTGGTTTATAAAAAAACCGATTCGGATCATAACCGGTTTGGAGAGCCGGATGATGTAACCGGTGTAACCGGTTTCGGTTTGAAAAAAACCGATTTTTTAGAAAAACCGATTTTTAATCCGGTAAAAAATCTGGTCATCCAATTTTTTAAACCCCTGACCGGATTTTTTTCCGGATAAAAAATCAGTTTTTTATCCGGTTTTTTTCAAACCGGTTTTTAATCCGGTAAAAAATCCGATTGTCCAATTTTTTCCCAAACCGGTTATCCTATCCGGTTTTAAAATATCCGATCCGGTTTTAAAAAAAAACAATTTTTCCCAAATCCGGTTTCGGATATTTTGTGCGCAAAATCGGATATTCGGATTTTTTGTGCACCTCTACACATTAGTAGTACTCGAGCCACTGTTAATGCCAATTCAGGACTATCCAAAATCACATGCTATTTTTCACTTAGGTCTATATAAGCAACGCAAGAAAATTCGACAACATGATTACATAAGCAAACTTCCAAACAAACCATGGTGGAATCAACTAGGCCATAGAAACGATAAGTAACAGTTCAGCAGAAAGAAACTACACAAGTAGTAGAACAATGGTAGAGTGGCCTTGCCAACTAGAATTGTGATCCAGCAAAAGTCATTGCCAAATGCAGTCAGATTCGATCAGCCAGGTACCTTACTAGAGAGTTTACAGGCTTAGCAAAGTCGACATTTTGGGTCTCATGGACCCTACACTTTATTCGAGCAAGGTAATCAGCTGCAATCCAAGCGAAGCTCAACATCACCATGCCGACAGCACCATTGGACTCCTGCAACTCTAATGTCCTTTTCACCCATTTTGGATGGTAAGTGACCTGGTACCATGCGGACGCCTTTCTTTCATACAAGTCATTCTTTTCATCCTCATTAAGCTGCTCAAAATCTGAGTCCATATCCTCAAAAATCTGCCTGAATTCTTTCCTCAAGGCACCGTAAGAATGATTGAGCTTCTCCTTTAAATCCCCTAACTTTCGACTGGAGTATTTAGGCATGGACCAGATCTGCCCGGTTACAACCTCTTCTTCCCTCTTCACTTTGTATTGTCCAAGGAGTCCGATCAGTTGCCCATCGTAGGAGCACTTCTTAACCCATGCATCAGCAATGTAGTCAGCAGATCCTGTAACCTCAAGATCTGCATCATCATAATTGATGTCACTAGCATCAAGTTTTGGTTCAGAAGATTCAGAGATTTCATCATATGCATCTTTGACATTACGATATAGTCTTCCCAGAATTTTGCTTGATTTGTATGATTGATATTCTTCTTTACCCATAAAATCTGGATAGGATTTTGGCTTTAGTTGAGCAGGCATTGACACAATCTTCCCAGTTTTAGGAAAATCAACAGCTGTAGCCGCTAACTCTGCAAGCCGTGTGCATTTCTCATCTAGAGCACCATATTCACTAAGGTCGGCATGAACCACATGTGCATTGCAAATACTCCCCAGGTTCTCGTTCACCATGTTTTTTGCAAAAAAATCTACTATGTCCTGCAGAGGAAACGTGAAAGAAAACAGTCATGAGATTTTGTCTTTCACCTACTTGGAACTCGAAATAGTTCATTCATCAAATTACAAATCCTAAACTATCCTGCCTAATTTGATATATTTTACACAAGAATATTATCTACTTTATTCTGACAGTTCCGCTCTAGGTTCTCCCATTTGAAGATTTTATCTTTTACGCACTGAAATTCCAAATATTCATCATGAATTCATGATACAAATACAAAACAATTGACTTGCTTTTGTACCATATTACGCTTCGGAATTACTCGTGTCATCACCACATTTTTTGCTGATATCTCTGATGAAAATTATAGTAACAGAATTTACCAATAACAAAATATACCATTTTAAAAACAGTCAGTGCCTTCCTCCAAATAGATAACGGCCTAACAATATATTTAAGTACTCAACCGTGTTTGTCTATGATTGAAACGTTCCTTTTGATACCAGCTTTCAAGCAGAGCATACTGGAAATCAATATGTGTTGTAGTAGAAAAGTGAGGATTTTATTCAGGAAACAGAATGTATATCAAGAATGGGTATAATCAGAGAAAAAAATTATGGAAAGCAAAGGTCCAGTAAAGTTAGGTGATATTAAATAAACACAACATTTAGTTACCTTATGGTTGACTGGTCGTTGCAATAATTTAGGCTCACCAGGGTCATATTGCATGGGTGGCCAGCTCTTCTTCCTAGGGGGGATAAGAAGTTCCTCCCAAGTGACAAAATAAAGGTCCCCGTCAAGATCACTTCCAGAAGCTTCATTTGTATGGGGTCTCTCACCCTTTTGAGGGAAAACCAGACAATCATACAAATGGTGTAAGCCAGGGGCATCAACTGCTTCTAGAATCCTTACATCCCCAGGGTGAAGACATGGATTCTTAGCTATAATCACCAACCCTTTAATTACTTCTAAGTTGTGCTTTGTTTCCGCAAACCTAGAGCCATGTCTCAAGAAGCACTTTTCCAAAGATGGATTTGACACTTGGATAAAGCACTGGCCTTGTTCTAGCACTCCTAGTTCATCCAAGACACCCATCAACCACCTTCCAGAAGGAACAAATATCCTAGCCTTTTCCCTAAGACCACAAAGCTGAGATGCTCTTACACAAGTCAAGATGCCTCGTAAATGAGGCTCCGATTGAGGCTTGAAACCTGCACTCAACATTATTGCCGGAATATTCCCTTGCTCAGGACATGACAAGGTGAGAATCTCAAATGCTGAATCAGTATCCACAAGGATTTTGTTTAATTTAGAAGCCATGGTATTTTGCATTTCCCAAAATACTCCATCTGGTACATCTAGAGTAGAAAGCAATGTAATAATTTGTCTATTAAGGAAGCCAGGCTGAAATCTAGTCCAAGAACAGATTTCGAGTGTTGTGTGATTAGACAGGAACTTATTCATGCTAGGCCGTAAAGAAAGACGGATCCCATCACCTTCTTCGGGCCAACAAGTCACAACCCCTTTACAACCGGCATATCTAATTTGATAGGCACAAGGAGGATCTAGGTCCAACTTCAATTTCTGAGCAACTTCCATTGCAAGATCAGGAGTGATCTTGCCAATTCCATCAGAGAACACATATTGATTCCTCACAATATCTGGAAGATCAGGGTTAACCTCTGTTGGAGGAACTTCCACTGTTGCATATGTTGATGAGAAGCATTGACCCATCCTGGCAGCACATTTAGCAATATTTCGGTTTGTAAACTTCCCCATCCAACCTAAAATTTTAAGCACACTTGTTTTCCCATCTTCAGCAAAAAACCATGCCGAACGGTCTCTCAATTGATTGGCTGAGAAAGCAAGGAAATGGTATTTGCGACCACACAAGTAAAATCCATCAGTAAGAATAGTTTTCACCCTTTTGAACACTCCCGTTTTCTGGGAAAAAAAGGTAGCTGTCACATCCCTTACAATTGGAGCATTATAGTAGGTGAGCACATTTGCATTCATTGTCTGCATGCCTTCATCCATAAATGTGACCCTTAAAAACCGATCAGCTACTTCTTTGTATTTCCTTAGAACCCTGTTTGAAAGCTCAACTTCTGGAAGAAGACAATATGCTTTGGTTGGAGTAATAACCAATCTTCTGATCTCAAAATATCAGAACCCTGTTTGAAAGCTCAACTTCTGGAAGAAGACAATATGCTTTGGTTGGAGTAATAACCAATCTTCTGATCTCAACAATATCATCCAACTGTTTAGGGTTCTCAAAAAGTTTAGGATTGAGCCAACTTTGAACAACTTTCAGCCTCTTACACGCATCATTTACTGGGCGCCTGTCAGAATAGATTTGCCTTAGTGCAGCCACATTTAATTCACTTGATCGGTTTCTCAGTAGGTTAAAAAACTCTTCTGATAACTGATGCTGGTTGAATATGCCTTTGTGCATTACAGCATTCACCAAAAACATTGTTTCAAAGGGAATTCCTTCCTTGTAATCAATATGATAGAATGGTCCTGACATGCATCTCCCGGAACCAGGTTCATCACTGACCCTAAGAGGCCTTCGAAGGTAGTCGACAGCCACTCTTCGCTCTCTAAGAAAATCCATGGCCTTTTTCAGCTTTAAACCATGACGAGGACGAACTTTTACTTTGTATGTATTACAACGACCAAGAGCTCCACTATGGGTGAAATCTGTGGTCCGGATCCACTGATCATCATCATCCAACAGATCCCATGGAACTGTTTCTTCTATCTCATCATCAGCAGTTCTATACCAGACCCAAGGTGAAGAAGCCAGCCGCAAGATCACTACTAAACATGATGTATCCGTGTACTGCTGGATCTCATTTATTTCCCTCACCAAGAACTCTACCTTAAAGTGACATTTTATGACAGCATGCTTGGTTGTGCCTTTAATAGAGAAGGCTGTATCTATTGAGAAACAAAATTTGCAGGTGGAATCAAAAGGATCCACAATAAATTCAACCCCGGAAGGAGGTCCCATCCATCCAACAAAAAACTCATCTTGGCTAGCCATGTTTCCAATCTCCAGGGAGACATCAGGTAACTTAAAGGGTATAGTTTTCCTCCTTCGGCGATTCATGTAATAAGGATTTTCAGGCCCCAAACTAACCTTCAATAGCTGATTGTTGAAGACAAGCTCTGTACGACCAGCGGCATCCACAGCCCAATTTACTGTTAGAGGGGAGGCAAAATGAACAAAGGCATGAGGATCCACCTTCTTATAGTCATCTGTTCTTCGGATTACTGAAGTGTCTGGAATCTCAAAGTCGGGATAAGACTCCGGCGGTGTCCATGAAGTCTTCAATCTACACCTCCAAACAACTCCAACTTCTTTCTCCAAGTACTCCAGCAGATCTTTGGCTCTGACATTACTGTCAAATCCACCAACACTAACTTGTGTCACTTGTGTCACCAGAGTGTCCTTTTCGTTTACTTCGGGCTCCATAGGTTTAAGATAATCAACCACTTCGGATTAATATCAAGCGAATTCTTGAAACGAAATCTAGCACAATATATTCAAGAAAAACGTGATTAATCTAACTTTAAGTTTCTCTTACATACTCTCAACAGCTAGGCAAAATACCGTACCATACTCGGCAACAATTCTGTTTCTATCTATCAGGAAATGAAAATTCAATCTTTCCATCTTCTATTAAAACATATTACATGAAAACAGTGCAACTAAAGGATGAACCAAGTACAGAAAATCAAACATCGAGCAAAAAACATAAATCCAAAAGAAAATTCATCAATATCGACAGTAATGCAATTGATTTTTGAAATACCCAAATCACATTCCCATTTTCTTCCAAATAAAACCTTTTTAACAAAATGTGATCGTTGAAGATAAGAAACAAAACGAAACTAATTTTGAAAAAAGTGCAAGAAAGAACCTGCTTGGAGGAAACTACAGAAGAAACTTTTAACGCGTTCTGCAGAGCAACAGAAGGAGAAATCAAGGTTTTTTTTTGTGGGTTTAGGGGTTGAATTGAGAGTGAAGGAGATGAACCCAAATATAAAGAATTGTGATTTTGGTGTGTGAGTTTCGAAGAAATGAAGTAATCCTGGAGAGAGAGATAACTGACTTCAATTCTTGCCGGAGAAGTTTGCTTCTTGTTTCCCGCTCTTGATTCTCTTTTGTGACGATGAGTTGATGATGATCGACTGTGAATCTGTGATGGACGTTTCAATATTAATCTCGGGAATCAGACAATACAATCCCATATTCAACTACTACTAATAATTATTGGATAAATTATGTGTTTAATAACTAAATTAATATTTTTGATTCATTTAGTATTTAAATTTTTGATTTTTCAAAAGCATACCTTTTAGTATTATGTCGTTAAAAATTTTATTTTAGTACTGGTTCAAAAATTTCACGTTAAGTTTTGAAAAAATTGAAAGTTTAAGTATTAAAACATACAAAATTTGATAATTCAGATACTAAATGCGTTAAATTTTTAACTGCATGTACTAAAATAAAATAAAAACTAAATGTTAAATATGATTTTAAGAAAATTAAAAGTCTAAATACTAAAACATAATAAAACTAATAAATTAAATATTAAATATGTAGTTTACCCATAACTATAATTCTATTAATTACAATATTAATTACAATATTATAATCTAAATATAAACTATTTAAAAATACAATATTAATTACATTATTTTTTATAATCTTATTTTTAATTATAATTAGATCAAATGCTAATCCCTAAATTTTAAAATCCTATTTTTCATAACTTTGAAGCTCCTATAGTCGTCGCTGTCGGTATCATCTATCATCGGCGATTAAGTCTTTCTCATTAATCCCTCCTGACGTGGTTTTCATTCATCGTTCGTTTGCACAAACAATCCATTAAGGTAAGTTATATTAATTTTATTTTGTTTTAGACTTGGGCGTTCGCCCAAGTTGTCACTTGCGAGTGGGGCCTCACTAGCTGTCGCGCCTTCACCGATAGTAGTTGTGGATGCCGGTGTGAAACTGTCACCATCTCATCATCTTTCTCTAATCCCTTAATTCATAAACCTAACCCTAATTTTCTAATTAGTCTAATTATAAAACCATAATTCCCAAATTAAGTACCATAATTCTCATATTAGAACCCCAATTAGAACAATTGAACCCTAATTTCTACGTTATAACCGCATTTTTGAAATCCAATTCTGAATTTCCAATTTGAATCCCGTCGGTCGTACCGATACCTTAGCTCATATGTACTGATACACAGACATTCGAGTATCGGTACTAGCTGCATACCGATATTGTAATTGTATATTGTTATTAATTTCATATTTGTGTACCGATACACTAATAGAGTGTATCGGTATGATATGCTTGACTTGTACAATTTTGTGTTAATGAAATTATCATATCATTCACCATTTTAATAATGTTTCTTTTGTTTATATTTTTTAAAATATATATTTTTCGAGATGGTTGATAATGAATATACCAAAATTCAAATTACAGAGTTAATCAGGATGAAGATAGATAAAATCAGGATAAAGATGAATACAATAGTGAATTAGAGTTTGCCGACATTATTGTTGATCACAATTTTCTCGAAAAGTTTTTTAGATGTGTAACTCTATAAACGAGTTATTATTGAAGGCCCTTTTCTTTAGGTTTATGTTTGTACTTTAACATATTATGATCATATTTAGAGTGTTTTTTAGTTAATTTTGCATTATATGCATTGTTGGGAGTGAGTTGGTAATTTTTGGATTGATTATGATATTTTGATATGATATTGTTACCCTGATATCGTGACATTCTCTGATGCTACAGACATTACTAAGAGTTAATGCGAGGTAGGATTATTGGGTCGTTGCTGTAGCAAACGTTGCACGGGCAGAAAGCTATTGACAGTTGGACATAATTCTAACATGGAAAGGACTGAAAATTATAAAGAAGTCTTAATGGAAAATGATTATCAATTTAATGCAGGGTGAATTTATACTTTTTAGGTTTCTTAATTATTATATAAAAGAGGCGGTTGCACTTAATCTAGGGATAACTTTTTAGGGTTTTATTTTATTCTTTTTTTCTCCACCCTTAGTCATAGTTGCTTAGGCAATTTTAGGGAAGAACAACAGCTAGACGTGAAGTCAAAAGTCGCAGCACCGACAGGTGGTAGCTAATGATCGAGGAGAGCATCAATGACAACAACGATAAAATAATTATGAGAGTGAGTTTTTATTTTTGTTTAGTTGAAATACTCTTTAATTTGTGTGGGATTTATTAAACCTTGGATACTTATGAATGAGATCAACAACAAAAAGTGTTTAATGTTGGAATAATTCCACGTTTGCAAAATGTTATGATGCTACAATCAATGGGGCAGTATAGTGGGATGCACACAGAGGGACCCTCGAGCACACTTAAGAGTATTTATGGAGCTGTGTGATTCATTTGTACAACAAGGAGTGCCCAAAAAAACCTTGAAATTGAAATTGTTCGCATACTCGCTTCGCGACAAAGCCAAGGCGTGGCTCAGTTCGTTGCCACCTGGTACTACAACATCATAGAATGAACTTAACCAAAAGTTCTTGTTATGATTTAATCCTCCCAACATGAATACTAGATTGAAGAATGACATCACATCTTTCAAGCAATTGGAGGATGATAATATGTATAAAGCTTGGGAGTAATTCAAAGAATTGTTGCGAAAATGTTTGATGCATGGTTTCCAACATTAGACACAAATAGAGATATTCTACAATGGACTTAACATATAAACAAGGATAGTTGTAGATGATTCTGCCAATGGATCATTGTTGGAAAAGTCCTACAATGAAGCATATGATATCTTGGAGAGTTTTCAACAATGATTACCAATAACCCACTACAAGGATTATGTTGGGTAGACGAGTTGTAGGAGTTGTGGACAATGATGCTCCACACAGGTGACAACATTGACTGAAATGATAAGGAAAATGCAAAAGCCTGAAGGTGTGTATTATGGTGATACCCATAATTTTGAATAATGTCAACAAAACCCTAAGTTTATGTATTTTTTTTGAGAAATTATAATAGGAATGATAATGTCAATATATATGGGAACACCTACAATCCAAATTTCTAGAATTATCCCAACCCCAATGTAGCATTACAATCCACTTTTGGGAATACACATAACTATCAGCAACAACAATATACTCAGCACAAACCCATTCTGCAACATCAACAGTCACATCATCAGGAAATTACACAACAACAACGTAAAAACCAACAAAGTTATCAAGGGCAGACTACTAACATGCTGCAACATCTACATTGCTTGAGTTTCTTTTTGAAGGAATATATCTCGAGAAATGAAGTTGTGATCCCAAGCCAATTAACATCGCTGAGAGCATTGGAGAATCAAGTTGGACAGTTGGCCAATGCGCTTAGCAATAGACCACAAGGACATTGCAAAGTGAAATTGAAGTTTTGAAAGCTCATTACAACAAGAATTGCAAGGCCATCCCAAAATGTAGTGGACTCCATCTTGGAAAATCAAATGTTGAAAACAAGAAAGAATGTGAGAAGCGTGAACAACATGTAAAAAGAAAAGAGTTTGAAGTAGAGATTGAGGTACCCAGTGTGGATACTAACGTAAATGATAGAAGACATAGCAATAATTTCGGGACATTACCACCAATAATGTCCACAATATTGTCATATGTGATGCCACCAACATTGCCAATGTAGTAAAATCTAAGACCTCCACCTTTATTCCCCAAAAAATTCTAGAAAAGCGAGGAGAACAAACAATTCAAGAAATTTCTTGATGTGCTAAGGAAAATATGCATTAACATAGCAGTGCAGGAAGCATTGGAGCAAACACGAAGTAGGCTAAATTAATGGTAGTCGCATCGATCTTATTGTTGTGGTATCGCTAATTGCATGATTGGTTTTAACAATACCTTATTCTTTAGCTTGAATCGATCCATTGCTTTCATTGTCACTGTTGTGAGTCGCTTCATCCCTTCATATCTTTATTCACATATTTAATTTACTTTTATATTTTTATTGCTTTGTTCACAACATCACCTACACAATTATGTTATTTCACTTACATAATGCTATGACAGTTCTTTGAGAAATACTAGTCTCTATAGATATAATACTAGATGCATTAATTTGCATCCACTTTATTACTTGATAAATGATAGTGTATGCTTGCACTAATTGTTGTTACATTGTTCGAAGTATTAAGATGTACTGATAAGTGTAGAACTAAATCTGATTTTGAAGGGCTTGGAAAGAATTAGTAGACAAACATAAAGATGAATGGGCAGAAGCATATTTGCAAGGATATTTTTGTGCATGTAATATTATATACACTTGAATTGTATTTAATATTATATTTATTTATTGTATTTAACAAAATTATTATATATTTTGGTGTGCAACAATGAAGAGTATTCAATGGTATCAATATGATATCTTTATGATGTTGTTTTTTATATTTATTGATGGCATGTATATTATATATGATATGATCGCTCTGATATAGATATTTTTAATACTGGTTTGTAGTGATATATATATACATATTGACTTAAAAAGAAACATTAGTAGTATAATTAGTAAATAATATGAATAGTATTTTACTAAATTAAGCTTTATTTATAAAATAAATGAATTGTAAATTAAGCAGTTTTATGCAATATTACTTAGGATATGATACAAAATTAAACTACTAAGTTACTGCCTAAATTTAAACTTGATTTGAATTTTCAAATTATTATATTTTGAATTTATGCGAACTGAATATTTTAGCGATTGAAATTGAATTTAATGATTTAAAAAAAGAAATAAAATTTTGAACAGGAAATGTTTTAAATGTTTGATGTGACATCTCTAACTCGTATTTGGGATCAGATATGGAAAAGGGGTGTTACATTTTTTGGCATATGTGTTTGTATTATATTTCTAAAATAGGAGAATCATTTAGAGTGACTGATTAGGAGCTTCATGATGAAGCTAATAGTGGAAATAAAGAGATTAATGACAATTTTCTTACTCAGTATAATAAGAACGGTGCGCCAGAAAAGAAATAAGTGTAAGTGCCAAGATTAATAATGGAAGATGTTGAAAAGAAGGTTGACTAAATAGAAATACTTACTATTTATGAGTTGGGTACTCCCTTACCATATAGCAATGAATTGTCGTTTAAGATGATTAATTTGGAAAGACTCGAAAGAGTATAAGATCATAGTAATTAGTGAAAAAGCAAATTCGTTGTTCGAGTTATCTCAACAGTAGTTACTAAAAAAAGTTATTATTACAAGATTGTTAAGCTTTCATAGCTAATGTAGAGGATACTCAGGCTTAAGAAGTTAAATTAAGTTGGAAGATATTCCAATTGGTTCAAGAATATTCAGATGTATTTTTAGATGAATTACCTAGATTACCTATAAATTGATAAGTAGAATTTAAGATAAAAGTATTACCGTGTATTACGCCCATATCTATGATCCTATACAAGGTGGCTCCAATTGAGCTAAGGAAAATTTAAAAGTACAAATACAAGAATTGTTAGATCGGAGTTTTATAAGATGGAGTGTGTCACATTGGGGCACGTCGGTAATAATTTTTGTGAAGAAGAAAGATGGTTATGTGTGGTTATACATAGATTTTTGTCAGTTAAATAAAATGATAGTGAAGAATAAAATGATAGTGAAGAATAAACATTTTCTCCCAAGGATCGATCAACTCTTTAACCAGTTAAAAGGCATATTGATATTTTCCAAGATTAATCTTTGATTTGGATATTATTAGTTAAAGGTTAAAGAAGAATATATTCATAAAACTATTTTCAGAAATTGATATGGACATTGAGAGTTAGTAGTTATGCTGTTTGGGTTAATAAACACTCATGCAACACTTATGGGTTTGATGAATAGAGTGATTTTATTATACTGGGATCAAATTGTGGTGGTGTTATTGATGATAATTTAGTTTACTTGAAGATTAAGGAAGAACATAATGTGCATCGTCGTGTAATTCTTCAAATTCTTTGAGATAAAAAGTTTGTGCCAATTTGTTAAAGTGTGAATTTTGGTTATCTGAAGTTGCATTTCTTAGTCATGTAAGTATTAATAGAGAAATAAGAATGGATTCTAAGAAAGTACAATTTATTGTTGAATGGAGAATTCCAAATGATCTTTCTGAAGTTTGGAGTTTCTTAAGACTTGTCAGTTATCATCAAAGATTCATAAAGAACTTTTGATGATTGTCTTCCTATTCACTAAGTTATTGAGAATTGGATGGATGAATACCAAGAAAGCTTCGAGACACTAAAGAAGATATTGATACAAATATCAGTATTAGTACGACCATAATTTGAAAAGGATTATGTGGTCTATAATGATATGTCTCATAATGGTTTAGGATGCTTATTAGTGAAAAAAATCATGGCTTATACTTTGAGAAAGCTTAAGACTCGTGAAAGGAATTATCCAATTCATGATCTAGATTTGGTAGCAATTGTGTTCGCCTTGAAGATTTGGCACCATTATTTATATGGTGAGCGATGCTACATTTATACAGATCATAAAAGTTTAAAGTATCTGCTAATTCAAAAAGGGTTGAATGTAACATCCTAAAAACCGAGTTAGTGACTAAAATGAAAGTTTTTTTTAATTATGGTTACCAATTTAGGAGAAATTGATAAGTTCAAGGATTTATATGTGAATATTTTGGTATTGGATTAAATTGGAAGGATGGAAAGAATGAAGGGTATTATGAACTTTTCAATTTAATGGATATTTTTTCTTTTATTTATTAAGAAGATAAGCACGTGGGGTTTGGGGAAAAGTATCTGGAACCATTTTCTCTTGTCTTCTTCTTCTTCCTGTTTGCTCCAGCTCCAAATGTGAGTTTAATTTCAGCTATTTAATTCTTGGATTTTTAAGTTGGGTTTTATTCTTTGGGTGTTATATAAGCTTAAGGAAAGTTTATATAATATCAAAACATCAAGAAGAGAGAATTAGAAAGGAAATTGTAATAAGGGTGTATAAATGAATTGTAGGTATGAAAAGGTTTTTGAAGTTCTATTAATGAATTTGACTTGCCATTAGAAGGATTAAGAAGTTTAAAGCATTAAAAAATGAATTTAGAAAACATGAAAAGTTTGGTAAAATTCTTAAATTCAAGAGTTATGGTGAGTTATGAAAGATGATGAGGTGTTATAGTGATCTATGATGGTTTAAGTACGTATAGTTGAGTTTAAAAGCATAAAGAGAGTTAAATAAGTAGAGTTTGGGGTAAAGTATTGGAATTTTTGGGTTTAAGGAATGAATTCTGGGTTGGTAGTATCGGTATTGGTTGAGTGAGTACCGATACTACAAGGTAATTTTTGAGAAATTTATGCATGGGGTATCGATACCTGCATAAACAGTATCAATACCATAAGGAAATAGAGTAAGAAATCTTCATGAAGTAGCAGTATTGAAGTGACAGTATCGATACTAGGAGTATCGATGCCATTATGGAGGGTATCGATACCAGGTAACATCGAATCTAAAATTGGTATCAATACTGGATGGGGTATCGGTATCCTAGCATAGAAGTATCAATACTGTGCTGGTAGTAATGCTACTACTTAAGTTGGAAATTGGAAATTAGTGTTTTATTTAGTTGCTTTGATATGAATCTTGTTAAGTAATTCAAATCCCGATTTTCATTGGATTATATTCGTGTAGATATCGATCGAAAGCAAAGTTCGGATAGGCCGTCAGAGTAATAATTATGAGAAGGAAACAAGATATTGGTATTGACAAGCGAGCCAAGGTGAGTACATGATAATAAGTGTAAGTTATGTTATGGAATTAAGACTTGCGATAAGTCTAATTTTGATATTAGGTTACATGAGTTTGTGAATATAACATATAGGGATATGATGCTTAGATGTACATGAGTCCATGCATATGTTTAGAGGTACTTGCATTTCTATATGTGATTTGTGTGAATACATGTATGTGTGATAAATCATGTGACCATGAGCTATGTGTGACAATAAGATATACGATAAAAGATATTGTTGTGAAAGTGATATATGTGATTACATGTCTTTATGAACACAAGAAATGTGACATGACATATATGTGATAATGGGATATGAGATCATATGTGAATGTTACATGAAATATGACTTTCTGATATAACATGAAATTATGAACTTATATGACTATGTGATATGAACGTGTATATGTGACAAACATAAAAGGTAATGCCCATGTTATGTGTTATGAGAGTTAGGGGTATAGTTGGCATGCCAAGAGTCGAGGGTTCTACGTGGTCCTTCGAGACATATATGTAATCCTTTGGAACACATATGCGGCACTTCGGTACACTTATTTGATCCATTGGAATATGTATGCGGTCCTTAAGGAGTGGTTCTTCGGGACACATGTGTTTTATGTGGTCATTCAGGATATTTTTACGTGGTTCTTCGGGACAAATTCTATGTGCCCCTAGTGAGAATTATACGAGCTATGGTGACAACATATGTGCACAACCTCTATGTACTCACATACATTAAGTTCTCATAAGTAAACATCGGCTTTAAATACAATAATTAAATAAACTTGGCATGATACTATGTGTGCTCCATTGTGAAATGATCTACTTGTTTTATGATGTGTATAAAAATGATAAGTACATGTTTATATGATAAAAGGAATTAATGATATTAATATAACTAATATTTAGCATGTTAATGATGATATATATGTGTATATGAACATCATGTTACATGATATGTACATGCATTTGTTAAGTAGTTATAGTTCCATTATTTATTTACATGTCTCACTAAGTCTATGACTTAACGTGTGAGTGTTTCATATGTAGGATCCGAGAAGTTTCGCAGAGAAGATAAGCAGAGGAGACATCATAACTTCTGTAAAGATCAGATCAGAAGAATTAACAATAGGTTTTCTTGTTGTATTATATTATTGGCATGCATTTAAAGAATTAAGTTGTAGAAGCTCTGAACCGTTTTGTAAACTTTCGAGTAATATTTGTAAATTATTTTGTGTGCTTAAATTATATATTATTTTCCTATATTTGTATATAAGAAATGGTTTGAAAGGTTAATATGACATCTCAGACTCATATTTGGGTCGGATACAGGTTGGAGGTGTTACATTTAATGGTATCAGAGCTAAGGTTTAGTCGATTCTAGGCTTAAACCGAAGTCAAAATGTGTTTTAAAAAAAGGTGTTTTAAAAAGTATACATGCCAACAAAAAGTGAAAGTTTCTAATCTGATAGAGCCATGAGTATGTTGTCCTCTAATAGAGTTATATGGTTATGTATTAGATGTCTGATTGTGAGAGTTCTCGAAGTGATAGGAGAAGTAATAGACCTGAAGGTAGAAGCAATTCACCTGCCCTGGCCAGACAGGGTGAAGAGTGAACACCTCCAGTAGTACCAGTGAGAGATCAAGGGTTGTTTTTCGGGGCGTTAAACACTATTTTATCGCATTTTCAACCTCCTGTTCCTTCAGCTCCTCCAATGAATATAGCTAAGGACTTGAAAGGCTTATGAGCACCCGAGTTCAAGGGTGAAGCTGAGGAAGATCATATTGTTGCGGATCTTTGGTTTAACGATGTTAATATAATGTTAGATGTACTTCACTGCTCTGAAGTGGAGAAATTAGATGGAATAGTTTCTCTGTTGCGTGGTCAGGATAGAATATGGTGGACAAATTTCACCATGAGATTAAGAAGTGTTCAAGTGACATGGTTATTCTTTTTAGAAGAATTCAAGCTTAAGTATATTGGTGACCAGTTTATCAGACAGATGAAGCAAGAATTTCTGAATTTGAAGCAAGAAGATTATACAGTGTATGAATATGAATGTGAGTTTAACAAGTTAAGTCGTTTCGCTGTTGAGCTTATTCCGACTGAAAATGATGTATGTGATTGGTTGTGGAGGGCTTGCACCCTAGGCTAAAAGAGTTGTTGCTAGCCTTGAATTTGTCATCATTTCAAGAGGTGGTCAATCGAGCTAAAACTCTAGAGAGAGCTCAGAATGAGAGATTTAAAGAACAAAAAGTTCAGAAGTCTAAGAGAATTGGTATTTCGTCGATTTCTTCGCTATCAAAGAAAATTAGAGATTTGGATTCTCAAACTCTGACTATGTTTGAATTGACTGCTTCTTCGACTAAAAGATCAAATCTAAGTTAATCTAGATAATGTTCCCATTATGGAAAGAATCATACATGAGTATGTCGAGTGGTTTTAGGAGCCTGTTTTAGATGTGGTGATGTTGGTCACTTTATTCGAGACTAATCATTTGGTGGGAGTTTATTTTGGATATTTAAGTTTTGCTTTAATGAATGGTTATTTTTCTATGTTATATTCTGTTTTGTTTATGAAGCTTAGCTCCTTAAGGTTGTAGGAGCTAGGAGAGTAGCCGTTCCTTAGGAGATTACTTAGTGTTCGAGAGAATGTCTAGGTAGCACATCCTTAGTGTTCGAGAGAAACTAGGGAGGAACCACATAAGCAAGGAGTTCTAGATAGTAACTAGGCCTAATCCACGTTAGAGATAAAGCTAGGATTTTATTCGACTAAAAAGAGTTGTGTATGAGCGATAGGTTAGATGTTAATGCTGCCGCAATAAGGTATTACCGAGACATATCCTGTTATCTGGACCAATAGGATCCCTGCAGTAGCTAACGCCATTCGGTTTTGCCAAGGCATCTTCAATCTGTCAAGTCCCTTAACTAGAGATAGCATAGGGTACCCTTAGTAAACTCTGTCGGGCAGATAAGGCATAGAAGTAAGACCATTTTGAGCAGTAGACTTAAATTTCCTAAGTAATTCCTTTCACTCATTCTCAAGTAGCTTGTCGTGTGAGGAGTCTAAAGTCCTTATAAGCAAATCCAATATTTACAATTTATTTTGCCTTTACATATTCATTTGATTGCACTCAGCACAATTTAATTTTCTATAACATCTCAATTTGCTACCATATTACCATCATACAATTTCCACAACAACCATTCATTTTGCCACAACATTTTCATTTGCAAATAACATCACTAACTTTACTTAGGTGACATAGTAAAGCGCTTTGACCGAACTTATCAATTTCCTCCAATCCCTGTGGAGACGATACTCACTTATCACTGTATTACTTGTTCGATTGTGTATACTTGCACATATTTCCGCACCCATATATAGTACTCACAAATAGCGAACAATTACTTTTAGGCTTAATTGGAAAATTTCTTTTAGTCTATGTAACTTCCGCGTGTTTTTACATTTTAATCCCTAAAACTATTTTTTTATTTTGTTTAGATTTAGCCATTTAATTTTGACTTGTTTTAATTTAGCCTCTGCTATATGTTTAGTTTATTCTTTTTTAGCTTAGTAATTCGACATTTATGCAATTTGGTCCTTGTGCATGCTTAATTTATTTTTATATTTTTTTTATTTTTTATTTTTTAATTAGATTGTTTAAATAATTCATTGTTTCATAGTTTAAATTCTTATATTTAGTTTTAAATTAGATTAACATTCGAATCAAGCTTAGAAATTAGGACGACGCTCTTGTTTAACTAGGAAGCAATTCAAGTCGATTTTTCGCATAAGATGCCCGATTACTCGAATCGATTGTTCGACTTTAAAATTTATTAATAATTAATATTTTCTAAAAAATACTTTAGGTTTAATAATTTAGACAATATTTAGAATTTTTGTTGTTAGTTGGTCCTCAACTTTAGAAATTATCAATTTAGGTCCTTAAACTTTTAAATCTTTTAGAAATCGATATTTTAATATCTTGACCTTTTTAGTCCCTGAATTTCATTTAGAGCTTTAATATTAACATAATTAAATAGGTTAAATTGAGCATCCACTTTTAGCTAGATTTCAATATGTCCTCTTAATTTAGGGAATAATTCGAGTTGGCCCTCGCTTAAATGCTCGAGGGACCATCACGGTTATTTGATACAATAATTGATTAAAAATCAAATAGAATAATATCAGAGCCTACAGTTTTAGGCTTATGCTTCTAGATCCTTTATTTTTCATAATTTGACACTTTAAGCTAGAAAATGTCTTAATTTACTCTTAGCTTAATTATTATTAATAAATTCATTTGATTGCATTTTGTTTTTAAAACCTAAGGTAATGTTCACTTATTAGGGAATTAATGGTAAATCCCCCACATGTATGCTCAGGAGTAAGTAGTGGTGATTCTCAAAATAAGTCAACATCCTTTTCAAGACCGCATCATGATTTCTAAAATTAAGGCAATATCTTGTTATTAGGCACAATAGTTGATCTCTCGTGTTTATTCTAGCGGGAGAATGCTATCAGTCTTAATAAACAGATACACTTTTCAACTTTTTGCATCCGTAATGATTTTCAAATTGAAAAAAGATCAAACTCAAAATTTTTGATTTTAAATATAGGGTAACCAACTAGGTACCAATTTTTGGACGCTTGTGGAGGGTGCTAATCCTTCCCCACGCGTAACTAACTCCTGAACTTGATATCTGGATTTTCACAGGCCTTAAAACTTGGTATTTGGATAAAAATAAAATGTTTTATTAAAATCACCCAGTTTTTATGGTGTCCCAATCGCACTTTAAATGATTGGTGACGACTCACATTTCGAAAATTCCTTTTATAAAAGAAAACCCCCGAGTTGGTATCAGGTTTTCTAGCCCGGGTGAAAAGCGGTGTCAACAATTAGGAATGTGGAATACTGTAGTTTTTGTTCTATAATCCTTACATCAAATAGAACCAGCTTCAGCACAAGTTGTTGCCCTAGTTTTATGTCATATAAGGGAGTTAGCTCATCAATCAGGCCGGCTAAGTTTGGATGCAAAAAAACTCCTTGATGCGTTGGACTTCAACCAAATTGTTATCTTTGTCAAAAGTGTGAATCGGGCATCTGAGTTGAAATGGTTACTTGTGGAGTGCAATTTTCCATCTATATGCATCCACTCTGTTATGTCCCAGGAAGAAAGGTTCGTAAATTGTGCATAGTTCATTTTTGTCACCTTGACTTTTGTAGTTTATATTCTTGTAAAACAAATGAAATAATGACCTTTCTGTAGACACACCATTTCGTCCCGCTTTATGTAATATTATGTATTACATATATATTACATATTTATATCATCATAAGGCATACACGTTATATGTTACACATTTATAATATTTATATATTATATTAAACATATATTGTATATATATATTTATTATTTATTTTATTACATTTTTGTATCAGGTCCAATGTTTCAACAAATGTTAGGCCCAAAGCCATTACAAAGTTGCCACCCAATACCAACAAACCCAATTGCCCAAGCTACAACCTGAACTAGCAACCTGAGACCCGGTTCAGACCCAAATCGGCTCTAAGATGTAACCCGGGTTAGTTAAGGTTTGAGACCCTAACTCCCTACCTCCTCAGTGCCACATCTCCTTTCGAAGACTCTTCAGGCCTCACGTTTTTCTCAGCTCAACAAACACAACATCGTGTGTTAGTGGGACACCAAAACAAGCTAAAAACAAACAACAATAAACAAGTTTAGTTCGAAGAGGAGTCTCTAACAATAGGATTTTTTAAGACTATTTATATACGCATGTAATCATAAAAAACAGAGGAAAACCCGACAAGAAAATACACAAGGAAAAAAAGAGAGAAACATTGAGAAATTAGAAGTAAAGTTTTATAATCTTCGAAAGGAAAAAGGGAATAAAAGGTATATTTTTTGTTACCTTGCTCGGCTTTGCATGCGATGGTTGATTTTGCTCGTCGTTTTGGACTAAAAACTATCAAAAAGCCGATGAAAAGGGAGAAGGCTTTCGAAGGGTATCTTTTAGATATAGCCTTCCCCGAGGCTCGTGTTTGAAAATAAATGTGATTTTTGAAAAGTGGATTTAATGAGCTTTCGAAAACCAAAAAAATAAATTTTTTCACAGCCGATGAACGGCGGTCGACGAGGCGACGACCGACTAGAATATGGGTTCATACAAGCCCAACAGTTGTGTTATTCAAAAATAAAGAACATTTGAGAGAAATGAGGGGGTGTTTGATCGGTTTGAAAGAATGAGAAATTATAAAAGGTGTTTATGATTTTTTTGTATTTATACCAAACCCGAGTGACCTGTTGATCCGACCCACGAACTCGGGGATTCGCGTGTTTTACCGAAATAAGTGGGGAATTACAGTTTTGGTCCCCTATTATTTTAAAACATTTATTTTAAACCCTGAAATCAATTTTAATCCCCAATTGTTTTTAAATTTTACCCCCACATTATTATTCTTTCAATTTAGTCCCTTCGTGTTTTAATTTCTCTTTTTATTCTTATTTTTATTTATTTAAATACTATATTTTATTATATATATATATATACATGTTTTTTTATCTCTTTTCTTTCTTTATTTAATTTATTTATGTAATTTAACTAATATATATATATATATATATATTCTTATTTTTTCTTTTGTTTGTTTCTGTTTTTTATTTTCCCCAACATTTTTATTTATATATATATATTTTATTTTATTTTTCTATTTTTATTATCTTTTTTGTTACTGTTATATATATATATATTTTTTTTTCTTTTTTTCTTATTTTATTTAAATACTACATGTTATTATATATATTTTATTTTATGTTTTTTTATTTTATTTTTCCTATGTTTTTTGTTCTGTTTTATTCTTTATATTCTTTTTCCATTATTTTTTCTTTTTCATGTTTTTTAGGTAATTTATTTATTTATTCCTATTTTATCCTTTCTTTTCTTTTATTGTTTAATCCTGCAATTTGTGTTTTACTTTTGTAATTTAATATACTTTTTTTTGTTTGTTGTGGGTTTTAATACAAGCACATTGTTTTTATTTCTGTTAGTTCCTTAGCATGCCTATATATTTTTACCTAAAGCATCATAATTTAACATATATTTTCCTTTTAATATCTGTATTTTACTTTATCTAACGTTTTTTTGACTTTTCAAAGGTACGCTTTTTAAATCTATTAAAGGTAAGTAATCTGGATCAAACTTTACGTTTTAATTTAACTTACAATTTTCAAAATTAAGACAACGGGAAATTAATTTGTACTAAAAGTGCAGTCCAAGGGTGCTAATTCTTCCTTGACTGTAACCGACTCTCGAATCCGACATATATATGGTAAGACGCAGATCAGGTAAGATGGTGTCTGATCAACCTTAATGTTTTTTAAATGATCGGTGTCGGCTCTAACATTTTTTTTAAAGTCGAAGCCCAACTCCGGGTCCACCCAAAAGATGGCTACGATAGCTTGGTGACTCTGCTGGGGATAGGTAAGTGAGTCAGGCTAAGGTTAATTTCCAGTTGTCTTCCTAAGTGAAATGGTAAGTTTAAATTTTAAGGTAACTTTTTCGATCCTTATTACTTACGTTTGATTATCTTTTCAAATAAATAGTTGTACTGACGATTTCTTTCAATGGTTTCAGCTTATCAAACGCTTTTCCATATAAGGCTCTATACCCGAGCTCCAAACCCGTTTTTAAGTGGGGGTGAAAGTGACGCTTTCGTGAGAATTTATTCTCCGTATGGGTGTAGCAAGTAACCTTCGAGATTCATATACCTTATGTCTTCGTGTGAATTTATTCTCCGTATGGGCATAAGGAAATGTATCCTCTCGAGTTTAACTTAGTCCACATAAGCTTGTAATGGGCTTAGGACTAAGGGTCTGGCAAGCACAATGGGGCACCGATAAGGAGAAATCGAGTACCTTTTTTTTAGAACCTAAACCAAGAGACTACAAGGAATTAGAGCCTACCCCGAAACCTCATTTTAAAACCTAGGATATTCTTTTATTCATGCAGTTTGTTTGTTTTATTTTTACTTTCATCATTTATATTTTTTATCTTACTAACATTTTTCTTTCATGTTTGTCTTTTTAGCATTTGCATCATAAAAAGAGGTCATTGATCCATAAAAAGGTGTTAGTTATACAAAAATAATATGCATTAATGGACAAAGGTGTTGTAATGCAAGAGGTAAAAAACACCGTGGTACGACTATGGTCCGAAAAGACTCAGAAAGAAAAGGGAAACAGTCTGCAAGGAAGCTATGTGTCAAAACTGGTTAGCTATGCCTCTGTCACTTAAAACAGAATGATGTCCAAGAGCTACGGAGCATTTGGGACAGTTAGAAGGGTGAACGAAAGCAAAAGTTCAGCCAACAGTATGATGATATCGCACTCCTACTCTATGTCAAGACCGATGAGCCCTTAATCAGAGCCTTGGTACAATTCTGGAACCTGGGGTACAACTATTTCACCTTTAACCAGGAATACATGGTACCCAAAATTGAAGAGTATACCACATTGATGCATTGCAAGGGAATCAGAATGGATCGAGCCTACATCAAGCACATCAAAAGTCAACCTTTCAAGAATGGGTTGGCAAATGTTACGGGAGTAGATGAGAAATGGGTAACCGACTAGATTCAACGCAAAGGTAGCAGGGAAGGAATTCCTTGGACCGATATCGAGCAACTAATGAAGAATTACCCCAATGAATGGAATGTGATAGACCTTTTCGCGTTGGGGGATTTATAGTTTGGTGATATTCCTGAAAACTTTAGGGTACATTGAGGCAGTTGTGGTGGAATTGTTTGAACAACTCTTGAAGTGAGTAAATCTAGCACCAGCAATCTTAGATGAGACCTTCCTCTCTCTCAACCACTGCAGGAAGACTGGCAGAGGAAGATTCATAGGGTGTGCTCAGCTTCTCCAAGTTTGGATCCACAGTCATTTCTGGAAGACTAACGAGATTGTTTATCGTCAATTCAACACAACTTATTTACCTTTGGGGAATTCCTTACTCTGAAATGGCATGAGAGCACCTCAAAAGAAAGTGGATGAAAGTATTCACACATCTTTATGACAGGGATATTGCTTGGAGAGATCCTTGGTTGACCCACAATGACATTCTCTTCTGATGTAAGGATTCAGATACTATGACTCTACTTGGATTATGGGGAGGAGTTGGATATTCTCTACTTTTGGCACTTCTACAGTATGGGGCACGCCAATTTTTCCCAGCAACATACGGAATATCGGGATTGAAATTTTCATACCATGGGGACAACTATAAGAAAAAGGTCAAGGAAGTAGCCGAGGCATGAAAAAAAGTGTTCCGAATGGATGTCATGGCTGGAAAAGACATCTTACTCCGGACTATTTGGAATGGCAGAGGCTAAGGAAAAATGACAACATCCCAGTGCCAGATCATGAGGACACCTGAACTATAGAGGAACATCTTAAGCATGTTCCTTCTGAGTTAGATATAGCAAGGGAAGAATTTAAAGCTATAAAGAATGAGCTGAAACAAAGGGTAAGAGAGCTTGAGGCCGAAAGATATCAGTGGAAATTATATGCCGATACTCAGAAAGATCGAGTAGACAAGTTAGAGAATGAACATAAGAAAACTTATTTTGAACTTGAAGACTTGAGAAAATGATATCGAAAACAAGTCCTAAGCAATTTTAATCTAAAAAGGACTTCTGAATACTAGAAAGGCGAAGCTAGCAGCCTAAAAAGGAAGTTTGTAGAGCATGATAAAAGAGAGACTATGAAAGAACAGCTAAAGACTGCTCAGAGGCGTTTAATAGATAGCCAACATCAGAATAAGCGTTTGAGAATCCAGGTAGCTGATTTAGAGAAGTCTCTTAAGAAATAGAAAGAATGGGATGACAAAACCATAGCTGAGTTAGATGCCATTGTGAACGGATTCAAGAAGTAAGCAAGCTAGTTTCAGATAGTGCCGTTTGATGGAGGGGTGCAGTGGTGTTTTCGTTGGGAACAAGCTCAGCAAAGGGTGAAAGCTAGATATACAGTCATCCGAGATTTCCTAGAGCAAGTACAGAAGGCAGCTCGTTATTTACATGGTTTAGCAAGAGAAGCCAGAGTGGTTCGACAAGGCATTCAACCAGTGACAAATGAAGGAAGAAATCTGGTTAACCTGTTAG